GGGCAATAGTAACAGCACACTTTAAAAACACACACACTCAAGACCCACACTTGTTATCAGGTCAACAGATTTTTGCACAATGCACCAACAAATCCAATAGGAAAGGTCTTCTCCACAAATGGTGCTGGCATGACTGGAATCCAACACAGAATGAAGGCACCTCAACTCCTCATACCAAATCCCCCCAAATTAAGTCAAGATGGATCGTAGACTTAAACATAAATGCTAGAACTATAAAGCTTCTAGAAGAAACATGAAAGAATATCTTTATAACTTTGGGGTTTCTTAGAAAGGACAGAGAAAGAGAAAATTGATAAAGTGACTTCATTAAAATGAAAAATTTCTGCCCAGTAAAAGATACTGTTAAGAAAATAAAGAATGGGCCGGCTCCGTGGCTTAGCGGTTAAGTGCGCGCGCTCTGATGCTGGCGGCCTGGGTTCGGATCCCGGGCGCGCCCCGAGGCACCACTTCTCCGTCCAACCCGGGGCCGAGTCCCACGTACAGCAACTAGAAGGATGCGGACCTATGACGTACAACTATCTACTGGGGCTTTGGGGGGAAAAAAATGAATAAATAAAATCTTTAAAAAAAAAAAAAAAAAAGAAAATAAAGAATGGGTGGGCCCGGTGGCACAACGGTTAAGTTCACACGCTCTGCTTCTGCAGCCTGGGGTTCATGGGTTTGGATCCCAGGTGCGGACCTATATACCGCTCATCAAGCCATGCTGTGGTGGCATCTCATATACAAAATAGAGGAAGATGGGCATGGATGTTAGCTCAGGGCCAATCTTCCTCATGAGAAGAGAAGAGAAGAGAAGGGAAGGGGAGGGGAGGGGAGGGGAGGGAAGGGAAGGGAAGAGAAGAGACAAGTTGCTGGGAGAGTGGATCCCAAATGTTCTCACCACAAGAAGAAATGGTGATGGTGTGACGTGATGGCAGTGTCAGCGAGTGCTACCGTGGTGATCTTTTTGCAATGTATGGGTGTATCAAGTCAATATGTTGTACACCTTAAACTTACACAATGTTCTATGTCAATTGTATCTCAGTAAGGCTGGAGGGAAAAAGAAAATAAACAAGCCATAGACTGGGACTCAACATTTGCAAAACTGTATCTAACAAAGGAGTGATGTTCAAAATACATAATGAATGTTGTCTGGCCACATGCCCAGTTGCACAAGCAGTGCAGGATAGGTTGCAGAGACTGAAGAAAAGACCTGGAGGCAGCGTACGAGACATAAAGGTTTATCGGGTCTTATGGGGAATGTCCAGGAGCAGCCAGCTAGACGGAGTCGTGCACCTGCACCGGCTACCCTGAAGGGAGAGGGGGTTGCTTATATATGCTGGGGAACAAAGGCTACGTGCTTACCAAGAGGGTCTGACCTTGCATGGCCAGCATTCCAAGGATCAGTAGCTCAGGTGGAAGGGTTCTGTGTTCCCTCAGAACGGGATGCTCTTTGAGAGAAACAGTTACAACACGGGATGGTTGGCGTCCTGCCCAGAAGGGGGCCAGAAGGACACATGGTTGCTATAGGGCTCCTGGTTATTGCCGGGCAAGCCTGACCCTACAAACGTCTATAACTTAATAACAGAAAGACAAACAACCCAATAAAAGGCAAGAGAATTGAATAGATACTTTGCAGAGGAATACACACAAATGGCCAATAAGTACATCATCATTAGTCATCAGAGAAAAGTGAAGGAAACCTGCAACGAATATACCATACACCCACGAGGATAGCTAAAGACTGACAACGCCAACTGTTGCTAAGGAAGGGAGCTACTAGAACTCTCATACATTGTTGGGGAGGGTATAAATGATATGACCACTTTGGAAAAGATCTAGAAGTTTCCTATAATACTAAACATACTCCTGTCCTATCATCCAGCAATCCCACTTCCCCAAAATGAAAGCTTTTGTTCTCAAAAAGACTTGTACTAGAATGTTCATAGCAGCTTTATTCATAACAGCTCCAAACTGGAAACAGCCCAGGCGCCCATCCGTTGGAGACTGGACAAACAAACTCATGTATGCACCCTCAGCAATAAAAGGAAAGAACTGCTGATACACATGACACACATGAATCTCAAAAACATCATGCTGAAAGAGGCCTTACACCAAAGAGTGATTCTATTTCCATGAAGTTCTAGAAAAAGTCCAACTAATCTGTGGTGAAAAAATTCAGACCAGTGGTTGCCTCTGGGGGTGGGAGAGGGGTGGAGGTTGACTGGGAAGAGCAGCAGGGAATATTCTGGGGTGACGGTAATGCTCTGTATCTTCATAGTTTGGGTTGCATTCATCAGAACTTCTCAGATGGTGCACTTAAGATTTGAGCATTTCAATTTTATCCCCACTGACCGTCAAATATAAATAAGTATTAAACTCTGGCTAATACCAAGCTGAAGTATTTGGGAGGGGGAGTGCACTGATGTTTGCAACTTACTTAGAAATGCATCAAAAACTAACATCAATTGATGGATGGATGGAGGGAAGGCTGAACGGTTACATAACAAAGCAAATACAGCAAAATGGTACCTGAACAATCTGGGTGGCGAGTAAACAAGCGTTCACGGAACAATTCTTTCAACTCCTCTCTAAGTTGGAAAATTTTCATAATAAAATGTCATGGGAAAAGAACTGGACAAACACAAAGCTATAAAAATGGACAGAGCCGCAGTGATCGGTCTCCACCTCAGCTCCCAAATCAAAGAACTACAAAAGTATTTGCAGGAAACACTGAGGTCCCCATGCCCATGCCTGCTGCCAGGTTTGGCTGCAGTGTTCAAAAAAAGCCCCATCATAATATGGCCCTGGGCCTCAGTTCTATCAAAACACCAGAAGCACCATCCTAGGGTCCTATGCTCAGGAGACTCGAGAAAGCCTGGTGTGTATGTGCAGACGGGCAGAGGGCCAGCCCAGTTCACCCATTTTAAGTCATTTGCTACAGTTGGGAAAACAGTATCCTGGGTGTGTATGAGGGCTCCGCTGGGTATTTAACTCAGGCAAATTCCACGAGACCACGCCTACGTCAGCTCCAGGCGATGGAAGCAGATACAATGAGGGTTTCAGATCAAAAGCATAATCCTCAAATATGACTACAATTCACTGTGCACTGTGTATGCTGGGCATTTCACATCATGTCATTTAATCCTGGAAACCACCCTAAGAGGTAGATTTATGATTGAGGAAACTGAGGCTCCGAGAGGGTATTAAATACTGTGTCCAGGAACACACAGCTGGAGCCGGGATGCAGGCACAGTTCCATGAGGTTCTGGAGCACAGGCCCCTTCCAGAAAGCACACCTCCCCAAGTCCCCCTCTGGACCAGTAGTGACAGGGGGGCAACCTGTGTGTTGTAAAGCTTTTCGAGCAGGAGCACTGGGCTTCAGGGGACAATGAAGAATTTCATTACGCGAGGGCAAGAGGCCCGATTCTCACCCACTGAAGACCTGCACCCCAGAGGCTGTCAGACCACCCTGAGCTCTGTTTCCACCCAAGGCCTGCTCACTAAGCGACGTGGATTTTTTCATAAGTGTGCCAACCAGTCTTCTGTTGGTTTTCCCTCTTGTTCAGTATGTTAAAGAAAAGTGTCTGGTTTCTCCCCGTGGGTTTTAACGACTAGGCAGAGTCCAGCAGCGCCTGTAAGCCCCTCCTGGTGATACCGCCCTCACTGCCTGGCTCCCGCCCCTGCATACTTCCCTACAGGCTGTGAGCAGCGGTAGCTATAGCAGGGGGTAGTTCCTGCAGCCAAGTTTGGGTTTGCAACTTTGTGGCTATCAAACTGCTGGGGAAGGGGGAGGAGGGGGAGAGGGAAGTGTTAAGAGGCTCTTAATTGGGAAAGTGTTACAAATCTGAATTCCCAGTTGTAAGAGCTCAGATTCCTCCTGTGGAAAAATGCAGACCCTCCTACACAGCCATTTGCCCCTGGGCTCAACTCCAGCACTGGGCATCTGACTCATTAAGGCAGCTATGGGGGTTAGAGGTAAAAAAAAAAAAAAAAAGAAAATCCATAAACACCAGGCTTAATGACTTACCAGAGCTTTTCAGGGGTGACCTTTATAGAGAAACGTACCTATGTAGAGATTGAATACATCATTCACTTATAAAAAAAGAGAAAGGAGAAACCAGAATCCTACGAAAATTTCTTTAATTTTCATCCTTTGGAAATACATTTTTCATTTTTATTTCCGTGATACAAAACTGTTAAATATCTAACAATGATCTATATGAAGCAGATCTACTGAAGCAGATCCACGAAATTCGGTCGCTGTTGTGATCTGTTTCAACAGAGAAAAGGCTGGTACATGTAGATCTGTCATGATTTCACACACACACACGCACACACATGGACGCACACATGCCACCCAAACGCAGACTGCCACCCAAACGAACAGAGAAGACGACCAGGCTAAGAGACTGAAAAGTGAGCACAGCACTGCATATACAACAGAAATTAACTTTTTTTTACTCAGATGCTCTGCTGTGAGAAACTCACATCTCAGGAAAAATAACTCTAAATAAATATATATGCCCCAAAGGCCAAAGCATATGTTAAGCTCCTCTATGGCTGATGTCAGTAGACATTTTCCTACTGGAAAAACAAGCTTGAGAGCTTCACATTTTCAGGCAGCTACGGTGGGAAGCAGGCAGACACAGCCGATCTCTCCACTGGGAGACTGGAACCACGTCCTGTGGCTGCCCCAAGATCTGAGCATGAGAAGACAGATGAGAAGAGTTCAATCCCAAATTCATGATCACAGCATCCAACAATGTTGGCCCTTTTTGCATATTTCCCAGGTGACATGCCCTATCAGATGGATTCCTAAACACACTAACTCATGACAGGAAGAGTTTCACACAAGCAACAAATAATTAACTGGTTAACAGTGTACACATTCACGACAGCCTACAACCGTGCTGAGTGTCAGCAGACAGTTTACATTAAAAAGGAAGAAATGAAACACAGCTGCAAAAATAAAAACTGCGTTTTTTCAGGAGACATACTTGGTTTCAAACCCCTCCCATACCACATTTATTAAATTAAATACAGTATGGCTTCCAAATGTGCTGGCTGATTCTTCCTCCGCGACAGTACCAGCAATTTGTTTCCCTCGGGTCTGGGTTACCACGTGTCAGGGACTTCAAAGAGCTTGGCAGAGCTGTGTGAGATGCTTCCTGGTGGGAAAAGACAAAACAAGAGGAAGATGGAGAGCACAGCACCTAGAGAGGAACACAGAACAAGCAGCACGCAGCAGAGCGCCCGGTGCGGCTGCAAGGACGCCCTCGGCCAGGGCCAGGGCAGGGCGGCCGCACAGCCTCAACGGGAGGAAGTCTACAGACAGGTCTCAGCTGTGGAGGGCAGTGCCCAGCAAACGAAGGCGACACCACAGAAACAGCACAGGCAGGACTAGTGAAGGGCCTCCCTGCCTCAGCCTGGTTGCCTCTCTTTTACGGCAGTTAAAATATGGATGCTTACAACATCTCTCGGTGAGCACACACACAGTGTTCTTTGCTAGCCACCAGGCTGGACACTTAGTTCATTTAGTCTTCATAAAAGCCCAACACAGTGGTATCAATATCCCCATTTTACAGATGCAAGAATAGGTTCAGAGAGGCTAGGTAAGGTGACTAGTCAACACAGCTGGCGAGTGGCTGAGATGGGATGTGGATCCTTCCACGTCCCAGGAGACTGGGTTTCTCTGTGCTGTGGTGTACTGGCACCTAGATGAGAAATCTCAGGAGCTGGTGGCTATAGAGTGGTGCGGAGCTGACCAGTGGGCGTTCAGAGATCCCAAAAGTGGCCAAAGACGCTTGAGGCTTTTTCCAGTTTCAGCAGCACTGACTAAGGTCTTCTTTAGAAGGGCTTCTTTGGTTACAAACAGTTTCACCCTAAAGTTAGAAGCCCTGCTTTTCCACTCATGCTACTTTCTGCAACAGCAGCAGCAGCACAGTTGGGTGAGAGCTGAATGAATGGGAATGAAGTCAGGAAAGAGCGTGTTCCTGAGGGAAAGTGTGGCAGACCAGGCGCTACTGTGAGTGGTGTCACGCGTTATTTAAGCCATAAAGCAGGGTTGGCAGGGAAAACCGGCAAAGCCAACCCCAGCTGCTAACACTCCAAGATTTCAAAAGGGAGAGAAGTCTTTGACGATGCCTAAAATGGAGAGTAACTTGTAAAAATGGAGGGGGTGCCGTGTCCCACAAGGCAGGAAATCACTCAGCTGAGAGTCGCTACAGGGATGCCTAAAGGTAACCAGGTATAAACACATCAAATAACGATAATTTCAGCTAAAATGGGAATTCCCACTTCTGATCATTTATTGAGATAAAATCCCGAGAGAGAGGATGAGAAGCCCAGGAGAGGGATAATTTGTCTCATCGCTGTGTTGAACATGCATGTCTCAGGACTCCCGTTTAAGACTGCGAGACTGCTCCTGAGAAGGGACAAGAGGCAGCAGGTGATCCACGTGACAAAGATTCCCATGATCCAGTCAGAAAAGGAATAAGGATTATTAAAAAACAAAACAAACCACAAACACTCCCCTCCCTACAACAACGAAGTACTGCAGATGGCCCGTGATAAGACAGAACTGGCCTGATCTTCTCCACCACGCATTCATACAATACCTAATTATAGGGTGGAAAATAAACATCAACAGGGCATTTTTATAACTCACATATCAGAGAACTTGTACAGCAGCCAATTAGCCATTCTAAAGGTAAAAGCCACAAAGCCAAACATGGGGAACTGAAGTAAATTAAAACTAGCTCAGAGGTAAAAACAAGATAAATGGCTAAAAGCAACTGCACTGTCACACTTACAACAGCGCCTGCTGTGGCTGGGCGGGAGTGTGTGTGAGTGTGGCCCCATGCCATCCACACCCAGGAAGGGACTCCGTGAAGAGCTAGTGAGAAATAACGGAATAAGCAAAAGTTGTGGGGTAAGCAAGTCTGGCGGCCATTTCAGCAGCTGTGTGACTTGGAACAACTCCCACTGCCTCATCTAGATGACGGACCGAATGCAACTGGATGCCACATAGGACTTCTGTGATAGAGCCAAGTTCCTGGCACAGAGCAAGGTTTTAATGCACATTAGATCCATTTTCCTTATCAGTAAGGTGGCCCAGGGGCCAACCCACTGGCGTAGTGGTTAAGTTTGCACCCTCCACATTGGTGGCCCTGGGTTCACGGGTTTGGATCCCGGGCACGCACCTACATACTGCTCATCAAGCCATGCTGCGGCAGCATCCCATATACAAAACAGAGGAAGACTGGCACAGATGTTAGCTCGGGGCCCACCTTCCTCAAGCAAAAAGAGGAAGATTGGCAACAGATGTTAGTTCAGGGCCCGTCTTCCTCAGCAAAAAAATAAAATAAAATAAGGTGGCCCAACACTGAACACGGTTGTTGGCCAGGAAGCCAACAGCCTGCAGTCAAAGAGATGCTAATTTTCACAGCCTAAAATATGCAGCTGCTGAGCAAGAATGGTATGCACGGAGGAAGCAGAACTTTAGGCACCATCTTAAGGAGACCTTGACTAGAGGGGAGCTGGAGGTCACTGCCGTTGTCCTTTCTAGCACTTTCCAAAAAGTGAGTGCTGTATACTGTCAAAGGATCAGTCTCAAAGCTAGCAGATAAGGAGCTATGGTTAGTTTTCCAGGGCACTCATTTTTATAGCCCTGTTTTACTAGAGTGCAAAGAATTATTCAGAAAAAGTTTTTCTTTTTAAACAGATACTTTTTCTTTTTTTTGTGTGAGGAGATCCGCCTTGTGCTAACATCTGCCAATCCTCCTCTTTTTTTTTTTTGCTGAGGAAGACTAGCCCTGGGCTAACATCCGTGCCCATCTTCCTCCACTTTATATGGGATGCCGCCACAGTGTGGCTTGACAAGCATGCGTCAGTGCCCACCCGGGATCCGAACCGGCGAACCCCGGGCCGCCGCAGCAAAGCGCGCTCACTTAACCGCTTGCACCACCAGGCCGGCCCCGAAACAGATAATTAAGGACACCTGCTTCCTGCTATCATGGACCTCAATCCACATCTCTCATCACACACAAAGTTAACTCAAAATGGATTGTATATCTAAATGTAAAATCTAAAACCATAAAACTTCTAGAAGAAAACATAAGAGAAAATCTTTTACAGTCTTGAGTCAGGCAAAGATTTCTTAGATATGACGCCAAAGGCATAATCCAAGAAAAAAATGGATAAATTGAATTTCATTAAAATTTAAAACTTCTACTATTTGAAAGATACTATTAAGAGAATAAAAAGAAAAGCATAGCCTGGAAGAATTTGCAAAACACCCAAAAGGACTTGTATCCAGAATATATAAAGAACTCTCAAAACTCAATAAGAAGAAAAAAAACAATGCAACGAAAAAAATGGGCAAAAGATTTGACCAGACATTTTACCAAAGAAGAGATTTGGATGCCAAATAATCACATAAAGACACACTAACATTATTAGTCATTAGGGAAATTCAAATCAAAGCCATAATGAGATACCACTACATACCCATTAGAGTGGCTAAAAAGGACAATACCAATACCGATGAAGTACAGAGCCGCTCACACCCTGCTGGTGGGAACGCAAAATGGTGTAGCCACTTCGGAAAACACTGTGTCCGTTTCTTATAAAGCTCAACATACACTTAGCTTATGACCCAGCAATTCTACTGTTAGGTATTGACCCAAAAGAAATGAAAACTTAGTTCACAGAAAAACCTGTACACAAATGTTTATAGCCGCTTGATTCTTAGTTGCTAAAAACTGGTAACAGCAGGCCAGCCCCGTGGCTTAGCGGTTAAGTGCGCGCGCTCCGCTACTGGCGGCCCGGGTTCGGATCCTGGGCGCGCACCGACCCACCACCTCTCCGGCCATGCTGAGGCCGCGTCCCACATACAGCAACTAGAAGGATGTGCAGCTATGACCTACAACTATCTGCTGAGGTTTGGGGAAAAAAAGGAGGAGGACTGGCAATAGATGTTAGCTCAGAGCCGGTCTTCCTCAGCAAAAAGAGGAGGATTAGCACGGATGTTAGCTCAGGGCTGATCTTCCTCACCAAAAAAAAAAAAAAAAGAAAGAAAAAAAAATGATGGGCAGAGTAAAAACACTTGTTGACAGAGCATCAAGTAACTGTGGGGTTCAATTTTCTTCTATATTTCTTCATTTTATAGCTTTTCATAGTGAGCATGTTCCTTTTATTAACAAAAACAACAAAAGAAATTAAAAAGGGGTAAACACAAAAGGTGACTGTTTCTGCTTATTTAGCTTTCGGCTAACTAGAGTTGAAAGGGAGAGACTGAGAGGTAAGACATCTCTTCCCTCAGGTGAATCCAAAACAGAATCTAAAATTCGACATAGTACACTAGAAATCTGCCATCGTCTCATTTTCTACAGAGTGGAATTCTGCATAGAGAAAGATCCTTTGAGGTGCCATACTAAAGTTTTTAACTAGGAAATGCTCCAAAGGCCTAACAGGGTGGTTTCCCACAACAAGAAGGCAGAGCTCACGCTGGGTGGCTTATAGGGAGCCCCAGACAGTTGCCAGGAGCAGGGAGGACACAAATATGCACTGAGCACACAGCCCCGCAGCGCAGAACACACCTCATTTGCCACATTTAGGCTGTAAACCACATTTTAATTGAGTGATTAAGAGCTCCTTGGGAGGTCACTGGACTTCCCTAGCCTGGTGGCTCAGGTGACTGACAGCAGCAACTGCAGATCTTGTTTCTGACTCAAAGGAGACCTGTAACAGCACCGAGAGGCTGCTGCTCTAAGTAGATTCTAAATTTTTATACTGTAACCCTCAGGGTTTCAGCTTGAAAAGTTCAGCAGATTAGTCAAGACTCCAATAAAACTCATGGTTCTTGGCAAACATTTAAAGGTCTAACATGTTGTATTTTAAAAGTAAGGGGGAAAAGACTTGGAACACCTTCTCTGTTACACGACAAAAAATCCCCAGGAATAGTTGAAGTCTTGCGGCACGCTTCCACGAACGCTGTCTACAGGGCGCTAATGGAACGTCCGGCTATTGGACTGTCCGTCAGTATTTCGAGAACGGCCAGTCTGGTCAGCATCAGGCCACTGGAACACTATTCACTTACTCAGCAAGTACAAGTGTGCTGTGGAAACCCGTCCATTACACATTGTCTGGGGAACATTTCCTAGAGATAGTTGATTTCAGCATAAATGGCATGCAGACCTGTTTTCCTTTATGTACCAACTGAGAATGTAGCTTGAACTCCCCAGAGGAGTAGATAGCACTACCAATCTACACTAACCATAATAAATATAAAAGGAGAGGACTTACTTTACATGTTTGCTTCCTGAAAATAGGACAGAAACAACAACACTTAAGAGAAAAATATTTACTAAGTACATAATATGTACATAATAAGCTCCAAAAAAGAATGGTCACTTGGACTTTTATCATATGACTTGATCACAAGAAAGTCCAGGTTGGTAATTGTTTTGGATCTAGAACAGCTGCCAGAAATATCTTTGTAAAGAATCCTTTGCTTCCTCTCAAGTTTGGATAGATTTCACATACTGCAGAGTGGTACAGTGCGTGAGTTCTGGATCAGACAGCCCTCCCCGCCACTCCCAATACTGCTACATTTGGCTTTGCAAGTCTGTAATTCTTTGAGCCTTGGTTTCCTCTCGATAAATTAGAAATAATGATATCTATACCTTACTAACTAGGTTTTTATAAGGACTAGACAATAAACGATGTTCCTAGCACAATGTGTGATATATGATATAAACTTAATAAGTGGTCATTTCTTCTGCCATTTAAGTCATTTTATTATCTGGGAAGGGGTCTAGTACTTAACTCTTAGTGTATCTTAGATATTAGAATGTATAACTAAGAAAAATGATACTCTTTTGTGTGGGATTTACCGAGAATCAATTTTCCCAGGATTGCTACAGTACACGATATCTATGGTCCTACTTTTTGCTACCTTCTCCTTGGAAAACAGAAAGTTCCCTCCAGATGAAACACTGTCTTTTACATTTTTCATGTCCTCACTGACAGCACTGGGTACCCAACACACCTTAGTGAATCACCTGAGAACCTGCCAAGATACTCTCCCCAGCAGGAGAGCTCAGACCTGATGCCTTAGCACCTGTCTCCATAGGACAGATGTAACCACACTGCACCAAACACTAATACAGTTCCTGCCAACAGCCAGACGAGGCCCTCTCAGCTCCTGGAACACTCTGGACCTTTGAGAGTTTAACACAGACTCTTCCCAGGGTCTGAACTCGGTGCTCTCACTCATTACAGGGCCATAGTGAAGTAACCGAGCAATCCAAGTTGGTTGATTCAACAGGTTCAGCACCTGATCTCTTGACCTACACCCTGCTGATACTGTTAGGACAAAACGGTTAAAGCAAAGCAGCTGAAAAGGATCCATTACACGTCCACCCCTGCACCATCGGAAGGTCTCACTCAGTGATGGTGCTCTAGGAGAAAGCTCAGTGCTCTCAAGGTCTCTGATTCAATTAAAAGTTATCAAGATGTTTCTCTCTTCCTCTTTCTTTTTTAGCAGGATTGACAAAGAAGCACAAAATCTATCATGTTTTTAGCTCAAATCTTGTGGCACTGACAGCTTTACTGTCAATGGGAGAGAAAAACCTATTTTAATGATGGTATTATAAATTCAAAACCCCAAATAACTCAAAAAAATTTTTTACTTAAAACGATGGAAGTTATAAAAAGAGCTAATCTATTAATGCAGTCTATTATTAGGTATTTTAATTCTAATACCTTTAAGATTATGCTAGATAGAAGGAAAAAAACCTAAAATCTTGTCCCTGAGAAGTAACAGATGAGCCGAAAAATTCAAGAGAATGAGATACGAAGAAAGATACAAGAGGGGAACCCTCCCTCCCCCAGTCATGCCCAGAGTGATCTCGAAAAGTCACACTAACATTTAATATTTAACACTGGTTGAACAGGTACAAGGTGGCCGTGGTAACAAGGTTATCACAGATGAAGACTAAGTATGTTACAGATTAAAAACTTCTCCAATACTTGGTTTAGGGAAAGGAAGGGAGGCAGGCAAAGGGAGACACGCGGATTCAGGCTGTCAGCTAAAATATGCAATCCAGGCTTCAGACAAGAGTTTAAGTTTTCGGTTCTAGTTAAGCTTCAGCATAATGTATAAGAACTACATGCAACATTTTTGCTGCTTCTTTGATTTCATTAATATCAACGAGATTCAGAAAGCTCCCTAGAGTCAGACTGGGCCACGTGCAAAAAGAGGAATTAATTACAACACAATGAATTCTTAGCCTGGGTGTGAATCGAGTCCAGTGCCTCACTACCTTCCTTTAATTTGACTGTTGGTCCTGCTAACCAGGGCGACTGTCGCGATGTGAGACAAAGGAGAGGAATAATCCCTCTCATCCTGAGCAGACAACAGGAAACTGTTTAAAAGCACCGGCTTTCTTGTAGGACAGACTCAGGGCTCCGTGACCTTGGAAAGTCATGTAACCCTCTAGGCCTCCATTTTCTTAACTGTAAAATGGACTGTGATGACCACCTCAGAGATTTAAATGAAAGAATTTCTGTCAAGCAGGAGGTGCCCCGCTGGACCCTGAGCAAGCCCTCAGTCAGCAGCGGCTATCTTCACTGTCACCGGGACTGCTGCCTGATCATGTAGGCCAGACTCCTGAGTGGGGACGGGCCTTTCACAGAGGCTGACTGACAGGCGAGCCCCTGCCTTGCCCCGACTCCGGCACCGCAGAGGGTCTGTGCTCACAGGGCTGAGTTAGGTCATGGGCCTCCACAGCACATCTGGGGGACGGAGAGGACATGGGATTTGGCTTCACACGGGCCTGCGCTCACCTTCGGGTTCGGCTTCTTACTAGCTACACCTGCACGTGTTTCTTCACCTCTCTGAGCCCAGACATCCGCATCACTAAAACAAGGATGATATTTCCTGTCTCAGGGCTGTTGTGAGAATGAAATTAAATAAAGAGAGAAAAGGCTCCTACTCCAGTGTCTAGCACACAGTAGGCTCTCAACATGTATGAATTTCCTGTTTCCTTTGTTCCTTATATAATTCTGCTTCAGAGAGAAATCCAGGCTGCCCGGGTCTTGCCGGGAACAGTGAAAACTGCCACTGAAAATAACATGCATAGGAGGAGGCCTCCGTGCAAATTTAAATGCACATTTAAAAGACTCTGGCTACTTTAAACACATCGGCAAAACGTCTAAACCAGAGAGGAGAGAGGGATGACCAAAGCGGACTGACCATCTTTAACAAGGAGGCCCCCAGGATGCCCTCCTCTATCAAGAGCCAGGGCTTTCTAGGAATTCCTCAAATGAAATTAAATTGATCCTAAAAACAGCTGGTCCCGTGGGGCTCTGCCACCAACTGAAGCCTTGCTGTAATTTCTTCCCCAAATATGAATTTCTAGAGCATTAAAGAGTACACAAGGCCGGAACTTTAGTAAGATCCGATACAAACCTGCTGGAGAAAGGTCTTTCTTCATTCTTTTTAATTTCTTGGCCTTCTTCCTTCCCTCTGAGAGGGCTTCTGCACAGGAATCTGTCTGCTCAAGCTCAGCGTCAGAAGTCTCCCCCGATACTCTGGCCTCCAAGCCAGCTTCTGCTTGACTGGGACTCAGATTTCTCTTTCCTCCTGCGCTGGTAGCTGTGAGACTGAAATGCAAACAGTGGAGCAACATGAAAGGTGTTAAGAGTAACAGGAAGACTAGCCTATAAAAATATTTTAATACTCTTGATTCCATTAACACTTAACTAGCAGTCAACCACATGGGCAGCTGCCACCTGTATGTAAAAGTTAAAGACCTTATCATGAACCGAAGTCTAAAAGTTTACCCATGACAAGCTTACTCAGAAGCAAGTTCTACATTATGCTTGTGTATAGATACATACAAATCTAAACTGTTCTTAGTGCTTCAAAGAACACATCTTTAAAGCAAATCCCTGGTCTCTATTTTGGTAGAGCTCCTACAACAGAAGAGTAGAACAGAAGAGCAAAGCGGCTGTAACAAATAATGGTCTTGAGGACATTAAATCAGAAGATGGCATTGTTACCTTCTTGACTGCCCAATGGATACACAGCAGAACAGAAGGATTCTTGAGTCTGTTGGCTATCACACTGCTCATGCATTTGAATACACCTACAGGGCATGCTCCACCTTCTTATAATTCTCTTCTATTTCAAAAAGGTGACTTGTCAAATTCATAATGAAACCTGGGTTCATTTTTAAAGCTTTATAGGATTTGACATGTTGACTTAAATCAGATTACATGTCTTGATTTTTCCTTAAGAAAATATGTTCCCTGAAATATAGCTTGATAAAAACAGAGACCAGGGGCCGGCCCTGTGGCTTAGCGGTTAAGTGCGTGCTCTCTGATGCTGGCGGCCCGGTTTCGGATCCCGGGCGCGCACCGACGCACCGCTTCTCCGGCCACGCTGAGGTCGCGTCCCACATATGGCAACTAGAAAGCTGTGCAACTATGACATACAACTATCTACTGGGGCTTTGGGGCGAAAATAAATAAATAAATCTTTAAAAAAAAAAAAAAAAAAAAAAAACAGAGACCACATGGCCATTGTGAGTCCTGTCTCCTCTAAATAGGCCTTATAAATAGATTTTTTATTATAGCCCCCAAGTTATGAAAAGCATAAAAAAATCAAGTCATTCCACTTAAGGGAGGCCACTGAAGCACAGAGAGGGGGTTGGAGGGAAGGAGAGAGAAAAGTCGAACATATTCCTATTTAAGCGTTCCCTAGGAAGTGAATACTTAAAAATGTTACATACAAACAAGTCTGGCTACCCAATTATTCAAGTTCCTTTGCATTACTCCTCCACTCAAATCTTTGCTGTACTTGACACTTGTTCACTCATGTGAAGAAGGAGACGAATAAATTGCTTCCCTGATGGTTCTTAGAAGCCATAGAAAGCGGAACAGGGCTTAGAGCACAGGGCCTCTTAAGACCGGCTGGCTGGCTTACCATTTGTCTTCTTTTTCACATCTACTACATGCAGCTTTCTGAAACATCTCTTCTACTGAAGGGATATGGAGCAAAGGGGGGTATTAAAAGTTTATGCCAAAGTTTACTGTTTAAAAACTGATAATACCTTTAAAAATTTTTTTTAAAGACTAAAAAATTTGGGCTGGTTTCCGAAAATCTGGAAAATTCAGAAAGTATAAATAAGAAAATAATGACCCCTCTTATATTACAAAAGGGAAGAGGACTAAAAATTCCTTTGAATGGGAAATCCTGGAAACTGGTTGACTCTGAGAGGTAAATGTTTAATGAAAACTCAGCTGGAACCATCGGCATTAAAAATACTTCAAGAAATACAAAGTCCAGAAATAGCCCCAAGGCATACAGAAATCTAGTGTGGTATCTCAAATTACTGAGGCAAAGGTGGACTTGTAAACTTTCCTACTACAACTCACAATCTGGATGCAATAAAAGATTTAAAAATGTGATTTTATAAAAATAAAAATCTTTTGCATGGCAATAAATAACATGAGCAAAGTCAAAAGATAAATAAGGAAACATTTGTAACATCTATCACAGAGAGTTAATGTCCCTAATAGACAAATAACACTCAAAATTGAAGGAAAAAAGACCAAAAATCCTATAGAAAAATGGGCAAAGCTATGAATAAACAACGCTACACACACACATCCTAAACACATGAAAAGGTGTTCAATTCCATTTATAATGCAAAATAAAATGACACTGACATATCGTTTCTCACCCACTAGATTAGACGAAATATCCAAAAGCTTGATAAACTATTCTATTCATGGGACTGGAGAAACAGGCACTCATACATTGCTGATAAGGATGCAAAATGGCACAACCCACTCTTATGAAGGGGAATGTGGCAATGTCTAACAAAACTACATATTCATTTTCTCTTTGAGCCAGCAATCCCACTTCTAGGAATTTAGAAGACACACCTCCAACAATGCAAAAATATATATGCACAAGGTTATTCACTGCAGCATTATTTGTAATTGCAAGATACTGCAAAGTGCCTAAATGTCTAAGCATAGGAAACTGGTTGAATAAACTACAGTACACACAAAGAAGTACTAAGCAGTCAGAAGAAAGAATGGAGATCTCAAAGAACTGACATGGAATGATTTCCAGTGAAAAAGGTGAAAAAAGCAAAGTGCAAAAGAGCAATTTACGAGCCGGGTATTCCCAATCTTGGGTGGGGTGTGGGGCAGCACTGCAAACAAACCCTGAACTCTCCAGTAGGTTTGCTTCTGTAGTCGAACAAGTGAAGCAATTCTGAAAATACTTAGATGCATTATAGTACTGAGAAAATTAGTAAATGTGTTGATGTGGGGAGACATACAAATAAAGGAATCGGGGCAGGCAAGGAAGAACCCTGTGGGAATGAAAGGGAATTGGAGATATGGGTTTGGGCTTGTGATTTCTAAAATAAGCATGTGCATATGTGTGCTTATACATATGGTTATGTGTGTATATCCATGCACATATTTCCCAGCTCTGTCCACTCAAAGCACCTAGAAGCAAAGAAATCCCAGTAGCAATAAGTACATCCAGTGTCCAGATCTTAGTTTCTAATACCATACCCAGTGAAAAAACCAAGGCTCCTCGAAGAAGTGGCTGATTCTGGGGCTGGGGTAAAGGAGGTGCAAAATGAGCCTGGACCATCTTGCAATACCAGAAAGTAGGAAACTGCTCAAGAAATGACGGTGCATGCACAGGGACAGAGGAACCAGTGAGAAAGGGCTCCCACTGGCCAAATAGTTGAGCACCAAAATAATTAAGGGGCAATAATAAATTCTAAACCACTGACAAAATAGGAACCATGGGTCTACATCAATACATAATACAGAGAGAGAAGGGAGAGCTCTTAATTACAGATGAATGGTGACTATGAAATGGTAAAGGCAGAAAGAGAGATGGAGTTGAAAAATCATCCTTTTGCAAGTAACACATAAAGAATCGCTGAGGCAAAAATCATCAATAGATGCTAAATCTAGGGCGGTATTTTGAGAAGAGTAGGATATTTGTATGATTTTAAAGTGTCTCACCACAGACCGATTCCCCAAGAAGCACACAACATCTTATGTAGTAGTCTGGTCAGGACTGTATAACCTAAATGTAATCACGAAGAAACATCAGACAAACCCAAATGAAAAATATTTTATTGAAAAAAGTGGGCGGGGGGGCCTGGTGTTCTTCAAAAATATCATTGTCATAAAAAAGACTAAAGAGACATGAAAACTAGGTGCAACACGTTATCATAGACTGGATCTGATACTGGGTCATAGACTGGATCTGATACTGAACGGGAAAAAGCTATAAAGACCATATTGGATCAAATAATAAAACTGGGATATGAACGGCAGCTTTAAGTATTATATCAATGTTAAATTACCAAGGTTGCTAACTGCCCTATAGGTATATAAGAGAATGCCCTTGTTTAGAGTATTTAGGGATAAAGGACCATGATGTATCTAACTTGCTTCAGAGGGTTCAGAAAAAAATCAAGCTGTTGGAGGAGGGGAGATGGAGAGAGAGAGGGAGAGAGAACTCGACACAGAGAGTATGTGTTTACAGACAGGGCCGGAGGGGAAAGGAGGAAAAGAGAACATGTGCACGGAAAGCGAAAAACAAGTAGAGCAAAATGCAAAATGTTAACAACAGACGTATCTGGATGAAGAGTATATGTGTGTTCTTTCTAATATGTGTGTAACTTTTTTAAAGTTTGAAATTATTTTGAAATTAAAAGCAAAAAAAACAAAAAAAGAATTATAGGAGACACTTGAGAACCATGTGTAACAAACAAGGAAAAGTGCATTTCATTGAGGAGTATCTTCTAATGCCTGCTGTGACACAATCCAGGGCTGAAGTGTATGTGTGCTTATACTTGACTCATAAATACACTATCAGCCTATTAATACAAGGGAGAAGCTGCCTTGACCATTAACAAAATGTCCCATTTGATACAACTGAAGCCCTTTCCAGCCACCCAGGCTCACACCCTCTGAGTCAGCATTTGCCCCTTTTCATTCTTCAATGCCTGAGCCCCCTTGCTCCTTCAGAAGCTCGTCTCCTCATTAACAAATAATATCCCACCAACATAACGGGCACCTCCCGCGGCCACCTCCATCCTCCAGTCCCACCTGTTTTACTCCTATCTGCCACCATTGCAGCTCTTTCCTCACCCACTGCTGCCGTGGGTCCTCCCTCTCTTGCCCCTAGGCTCTTTAAACAGGATCCTGATTGGTCAGTCTCTCCCTCTCTGCCTCTTTCCAGTCTCCCTTCCCCTTCAAATCCATTCCTTCCAATGTTGCCAAACTTATTCCAAAGTAGAGATTTGATCAAGATAGTCCCAGCTCAAAAACTTCTATGGCTCTCCACTACAGACCTAAATTTAAACTGCCTGGCATAGCATCCAGAATCCTCTGTCATCTGGGTCCCAATCAGCTTTTCTTGCCTTATTTTCCACAAGGCAGTCGAGTTGCAAAGACAACATACGTTTACCTCAACGAATTCCATTACATGCACTCTTCGAAATACATCCATTGTCCCATTAGTGGGCTTACCAAGCCCAATACACCCTACGTTTCCCATTTCAACGTTGCTGTGTGTCAAGACCCTACTGTCCATCTCTTCCTGCCTCAAATAC